ACACACACACACACACACACACACACACACACACACACACACACACAGACATTAAAATTAGATTAGAAAACTCCCCTTCTGGAAACCTTAGGAAGTATCTGATTGGTTAGTTCGAGTCACGTGTCCCTTTCTGGTCCGTTATGGCTTGTAAGTGAATGTCAGGTTCTGATTGACTTCCTTGGATTACAAGGATCTTGTGGAACTGGAACTGGGGTGCGCAGGTGTAGGAGCCTGGCTTTCTGTTCCAGACCCCAAGGTCCTGGGGATTGGGGCAGGGATGACACCCATGTGGCTGGGAGAGCCCTGCAGAGCGGATATTTGCCTTCTTGTCTCCAGGATAACCCTTTCCGCCAGAGAATTGCACAGGTCTTCTCTCAAGATGGGGATGGTCACATGACCTTAGAGAACTTCCTTGATATGTTCTCAGTGATGAGTGAGATGGCTCCACGGGACCTGAAGGCCTACTACGCCTTTAAGATTTATGGTGCGTGGGGCCCTGGGATGGGAACCAGACAGGCTATCTAATGCTCATCTCCCCAGGGATTCCAATGCCCACACAGCTCTGGCCTCCACCTTATCCCAGACCTCCTTGTACACTATTCCAGCCACATTAGGTTCATCCTTTCTTAAATTTATCAAATGCTTCCAGCCTCAGGGCATTTGCTTTTGCTGTGCTCTCTGCTTGGAACACCATCTACAGCCCCTTACTGGGGATTCTTTGCAGGCGCTCTGTCCCTGAGCCACGCCCCCAGTCCCTCACTGGGGATCTTATGCAGGGGCTCTGCCCCTGAGCCACACCCCCAGCACCTCACTGGAGGTTTGTAGGCAGTCTCCACCCCTGGAGCCATGGCTCCAGTCCCTCACTGAGGTATTCTAGGCAGGGGCTCCACCCTGACCCACAACGCCCTAGCCCTTCACTGGGGGATTCTAGGCTGGGGCTCCACCCTGAGCCATGCCCCAGCCCCCATTAGGAGATTCTAGGCAGGGGCTCCACCCTGAGCTATGCCCCCAGCCTCTCACTGGGGTATTCTAGGCTGGGGCTCCACCCTGAGCTACTCCCCCAGTCTCTCACTGGGGTATTCTAGGCTGGGGCTCCACCCTGAGCTACTCCCCCAGTCTCTCACTGGGGGATTCTAGGCAGGGGCTCCACCCTGAGCCATCTCCCTATCTGTCTCTGTTTAGAGTGCATATAGGTGTTTGGTGTTTTCTGAATGAGGGCGTGTGGACTAGCAGCACTTCCTTAGGGCCTGGCCCATAACAGGCACTCAATAGGCAAGAGAGACAATGAAGAACAGCAGGTGCTCAGTAATGAACCTGTAAAACTCTCCCAGGCCCCAACAGCTCACAGACTCCATAGGTGATGATCCACTCGTGCTCCTGGGCATGTCCTGGGTGTCCCTGTCCCAGCCACGTCTGCTGTGAAGGTCTTCAGGAGCACGTGCGGAACTCATGCGCAGGCGCAGGTCTAAACACTTAAAACACCCTTTCACACTCTTTTAGCATGTGTGGGGAGTTGATGAATGACAAATTACGACGACAGTGGCTGGCAAGCAGTAGCTGTTCAGTAAAGTCGGCGAATGAGTAAAAAGCAGCTATCGTGATGCCCGGTACACAGTTCGTACTTAGTACTTGTTAGATGAATGAATGCCAAAAAAAAAAATTAACACATATGCCACACAGTAGGAACCTAGTAACTATTTCTTAAATGAGTGGACATGGTGCCTGACACACAGTGAGAGCTAAATCAGTTCACTGAATGGATGGATAGATGAAAAGTTATCCCAATGGCTGGCAAACAGAAGGCACTCAATAAATGCTTGCTTACGTAAGAGAAAATCAGTCATCATGGTGCCGGACATGTAATGAGTGTTGTATAAGTAAGAGGAACAGTTGTCACAATGGCTGGGATTGCTCTCAGTGCCTGGGTGTCCTCCTGCCGCCTGGTCTCCCCAGCCCTACTGTTGGCCTCACCTCACAGACTTCAACAATGATGACTACATCTGCGCGTGGGACCTGGAGCAGACAGTGACCAGGCTCACCCGTGGGGAGCTGAGTGCTGAGGAGGTGGCCCTGGTCTGTGAGAAGGTGCTGGATGAAGCAGACAGCGACCATGATGGGCGGCTGTCCCTGGAGGACTTCCAAAACATGATCCTGCGGGCACCAGACTTCCTCAGGTGCAGGTTCAGACCCAGGGATGAGAATTCCTGCTGCATCATCTGAGGCCTCAGGGAACGTCCCCAGATTCTGTGGCTTCAGCCCACTTTATCCCACTTTGTCCAAGGACCGTAACCAGGAGGCTTTGGGCATCTGTGGACAGAAGCAGTGTATCTATCACCTGCCACAGAGTTTTGCTGTGAATTGTCACACAGCTGTCCTTGGCATCCTGGAGTAGGGTCAGAGCCCCGACTGCAGGGCTGGGGAGGCATGGCTGACATGGAGCCCAGAGTGCAGGACTGGGGAGGTACATGGCTGACACGGAGCCCCGACTGCAGGGCTTGGGGGGCATGGCTGACACAGAATTGGTAGACTCCATGGCCCAAGGCCACATCCATCCTCTGTTTGTTTGCTTGGTTTGCTTTTTCTCAGAAAGTGTCTCACTATTTAGACCTGACTGGCCTGAAACTCTCTAAGTAGACCAGATGGGTCTTGAACTCACAGAGATCCACTTGTGTCTGCCTCCCAAGTGCTGGGATTAAAGTCCGGTGCCATCACTTTAAGCCTAAGCACTTCAGTTTGTCAGAGTAATAAACTGAGGTTCAGAGAGAGTCAATAGCCGGTTTGGGAAGGAGCTGGGATGTGACTGCTTATCTAGATAGGTGTTTAAAATCCCCATGGAGATCCGGTCATGGTGGCAGACATATATGTAGCTGAAGCACCCAGAAGTCTGAGGCAGGAGGATTGTTGTGAGTTCCATGATGCCAAACTACAGAATGAGACAAGGTCTTCAAAACCCAAAATTAACCAAATGGAAAACAGGTCTCGGGAGCTGGTGGGAGGGCTCAGTGATTAAGGGTGATTACTGTTCCGACTGAGACCTGGGTTCTCTTCCCAGCACCCACATGGTGGCTCACAACTGTTTGTAACTCCAGATCCAGGGGACATGACGCTCTCTTCTGGCCTCTGCAGGCTCCTGTACATAACATGCTGCATATACACAGACCCAGGCACACTCCACACACACACCTGCACACACACACACACACACACACACACACACACACACGCACACACATACTCACACACATAAAAAACAGATGTTTTAAAAAACATAATATGGAAGCCTTCTGAGCGATGACCCTGATGTTGACCTCTAGCCTAAGTCCCATGGGGACTGTCAGCGATTTCTAGGGTTTCCACATCTCTGTGAATCCCTGCTTGCCCCTGGGTCTAGAAGAGGGGGTAATGGGGCCCCAGTGTCCATTGGGGACTCTCAGTGATGTCTCTGCTTCCTGCACACAGCACCTTCCACATCCGCATCTGACAGCACCGGAGGACACAGCAGATCCTTCCCCATCTCCACTCTGAGCTCTCCGAATAAACAGGAATCAAACCTTCCTCGGAGTCTTTGCGTTTTACTGTGTGGCCACACCCACTCTGGGTTTCTTTTTTCCATTCATAAAACAGACTGATTTCTAGACCTCAAGGCCTAGAGGAGCAGGAACTTCACAGTTAATGTACAGAGGAAGTCCAAGGCGACTCCTTAGCTCCTTTTCAGAGGTCAGCTTGAGCCCTCGAGACAAGGTTTCTCTGTAGCTTTGGAGCCTGTCCTGGAACGAGCTCTTATAGACCAGGCTGGCCTCGCACTCACAGAGATCCGCCTGCCTCTGCCTCCCGAGTGCTGGGATTAAAGGTGTGTGCCATCACCTCCTGTTCACACCTCCACGCCTTGTGAATTCCAGGAGTCCAAGGTTGTCCTGGGGCTTTTGTATAGGGTATCTATACATCCCACCACACAGTCCAGTCACCCAGAATCTTCCCAGACCACTCACTCTGGTGATTCAAAGCATCAGGTTCTGGGGTTGGAGAGATGGCTCAGGTATTAACAGCACCTGCTGCTCTTGCAGAGGACTTGGTCTCTGTGTTGGGTTCCAGCAGCTACATGGTGGTGGCTCTCAACTGCCTGAACCTCCCATTCCAGCAGACCTGAGGTCCCACCTTCTGGCCTTCTTGAGCAACTGCGCTTAGGTGCACCCACCCACCCACATACACACATTTAAAAGTGAAAATAGTTATAGCTGGCTGGTGGTGGTGCACGCCATTAACCCCAGCACTCAGGAGGCAGATCTCTGTGGTTCAAGGCCAGCCTGGTCTACATAGTTCCAGGACAGCCAGGACTACCAGAGAGACCTTATTTCAAACAAAACAAAATAATAAAAATGAAGATAGGACAGGATTGGTGGGGCACAACTTTAATATTATCACCCAGGAGGCGTAGCAGGCGGATCTCTGTCAGTTCTGGCACAACCAGGAATACATAATGAGACCCTGTCTCAATTCACGGTAATAGCGATGGTGATAACCAAAAGCCCCAGGTTCTCCTTGTCTCTTTTCTGTTTGCTCCTCCTGAGAAGGGACCGCTGTCTTCTCCAGCTCCCAAATGAAGACCAGAGAAGTCTACGTTCATCACAGTTCACACAGCACTTCAGAGGCCATTGCCAGTCCCCGCCCTGTACAGGAGTCTTTGGGTTGGGGGGCATGCACATGCATGTGTGTTCTCATGCAAGTGGGTGTCAGAGGACAACTCTGGCTGTTGCTCCTTAGAGGCTGTCCAAGTTGGCTTTAATTTTTTTTATAATATTATTTATTAGTGGGGAAGAGACACATGTGTGCCACAGCGTGTGTGGAGGTCGGAGGGCAGCTTGCAGGAGTCTGAGCTCTCCTTCCACCGGGATCCCAGAGCTCAAGTTCAGATCCTCAGGCTCAGCAGCAAGTGCCTTACCCGAGTCATCCTGCCTGCTCAGATTTGTTTTAACACTGGTCAGGAGTTCCCTAAGTAGGCTAATGTGGCTGAATGTGAAATGTGGAGCCCACGGATACAGAGGACTCTACAGATCGTGATCTACCCACGATCAGAGGTTGGGATACAGGCCCGGCATGTGCTTTGCCCACCAAGTCGCTGTAGTAAGTATTTTTAAGGTTATGCTTACTACATATATGTGTCAAAACATGTGTGTATATCAACACATGTATATGGAGGTCAGAAGACAACTTTCAGAATTGGGTCTCACCTTGCATCATATGACTACTGGAGATCGATCTCAGGAAGTCAGGTTTGCCTGCAAGTGCCTTTACCCCCTTACCGCTGGGCCATCTCACCCAAGTCAGGACATCAGGTCCCTCGGCTGGCAACTGCAGAATTCAGCCCCATAACCTCTTTCTTTAGCACAGTTTCCTGGTTGGGAGGACAGCCGTGGGGACTACCAAGACAGAGGGGATGCTGTCAGTAGCCAGGGGCGAAAGGCGGTGGTGGGCGGTATTCCTCAGGTAGCCAGTCCTGGGCTTCTGGCAAGTCCACAGGCTCTGATTTGGTTGCCTGGACTGAGAGGGCCCTCACCAGCTTTTCACGCCAGGCCTTGGCCCCTGAGACCACCTCCCTCCAGCCGGCAGGCCTGGAGGCTGTGAAGGTGGCTTCTCCGCCTCTCCAGGCCTGGGGTTCTGAGGGGTTCTGGAAAGAGGTGGCTGCACCGGCACCTGCGGAGTGGCGGGCACTGTCCCAGCTGGATGCTCGCGTCATAGGTCTGTGATGCTGTGTCACAGACCTGGCGTCCCCCAGCAGGTTTGTGGCAGACAGGTGCGAAGTGAGCCGCTGTTTCACCCTCCGGCTGGTCTCTGGCAGTGTCCTCAGGTTCTTCCACAGTTTCTGTCTCGCCTCCCCAAAAAGTGCTTTTGGGGAGCTGGGGGCTGATGCGAGCTTTCCATCAGTTGCAGTGGAAGGTTTCCTTTCTGGAGCCTGGAACAGCAAACGTGGAACAGAGAAGGGGAGGCCTGGGTGGCTGATCAGAAAGGCTCCACGCAGCCAGCCCCTCAACCTCGATCCAGGGTGCTGGAGTTCCCAAGCCCGATCCCTGCCCCATCCTGCCCATCTCTGTGTGTGGCTTCACCACCACTCCCAAGGTTTGGTAAATTTCTCAAGAGTTACAGCTGGGCTGGAGACGTGGCTTTATAAAGTCAGTGACTTTATCCAACTTGCTTCTGGGGATCGCTTCTATTGTCAGCATCTGCCCCACCCTTCTCCTTTTCGGAGGGGAGGTAGATAGGATTATTAAGACCCCCGAGGTCCCTAGCCACAGTGGTCCATGTATTCCCTTTAGTCACTCGGTTCTGCAGACACTCTGAGTCCCAGGACCTTTGCACATGTCTCCCACTCTGGGAACACCCTCCCTGCATCTCTGTGTCTGGCTGCTCATCCTTCTCATAGTCCAGCTTCCTGAGACCTCCTCCAGGAGGCCTTCTCTGACGTGAATAAGCATGTCTGAACATCAGTTTGCTTCGTCCCCTCCCACCCCCACGTCCCGTTGTCAGAACTTCCCCACCAGACAGGAAGCCTGAAGTACAACAAGGCTACAACCTAAAGGCCCCACTAGCTTCAAGGAGCTACAGTACATGTATTCATAATTTTTTTGGGTTTTTGAGACAGGGTTTCTCTATATAACTGCTCTGGCTGTCCCGGAACTCACTTTGTAGACCAGGCTGGCCTTGAACTCAGAAATATGCCTGCCTCTGCTTCCCAGAGTGCTGGGATTAGAGGCATGCCCCACCACCACCCAGTTCATGTATCCATCATGTATTCATTCGTCTACATTATCATTAGTCTAGCTCCTTCAGGTGGTGAGGTGCTGGTCGGTCCTGGAGGTGCACACCTTTAATCCCAACACTCAGGAGGCAGAGGCAGAAGGACCTCTGTGAGTTTGAAGTCATCCTGGACTACATACGGAGTTCAGGCCAGCCAGGGCTACATAGAAAAACCTTGTCTCGGTAGAAATAAACAAAACATATGCAGGGCCTCTTGGAGGGGTGCAGAATGAGCCACCCTGACTGCAAGGTTTGATGGGAGAAATAGACAGGAAACATACACACCTAGAATAAACAAAACCCTCTCAAGTTGGAAACTGTTCTCTGCACCGACTACATAGGGTGGTATGTGTGGGGAAACTCTAGATCCAGGGACTAGGGAGGGAGACACTTGAATGAGTTCTGAAGGGAGGCTCCTGGCAATAGCTCTGTGGAGGTCCTGGAGAACAGCCCGGAGCCGAACAGCACAAAAGGCTCTCCGTGTGGCTAGTGTGTCTGAACGCAAGCGGCAGCTGAGGGAAAGGACTGGAGTTGCAGGGCTCTTGGTTGCTTCTGACTGGGTGAGGATGGAACCCCACGAGCTGTGGAGTCTAATCCCCGAGTCTGGGAATCACCAGCAGATGTTTTTCTTTAATTACACAGCTACAGAAGAGGGCATTTTCTGGAAAGGGTCTGCTCTAGCATCTTTCTCTGCCAGTTCCCGACCCAGGTTGGAGGTGCCACCCCGGGCCTGCCTACCTCCTCGGGTGGGCAGGAAGCAGGCCTCTGGCCTTCCGTGGGGCCACCAGCTTGGCTTTCAGCGTCTTGAGCCAGGGCACTGGAGTACAGGAAGAGATTTTCGTAGTCGACGTTTGCTGGATCCTCCTACAAGGTACGGAAGAGATACAGGGCTCAGACCCAGCAATGGGAAAGGCTGGGGTGGGGAGAACCCTGGGTGGGGGCCTCCTAAACCGACCTCAGAACCTAGGCCACACCCACTGAGTCTCAGGGGAAGAGCCCCGCCCACAGAAGGTTTAGGCCATACTCATAATTCACATTATGAATTATGAGCCCAGTGCACATCCGGTAAGCCACGCCCACCAGCCTCAGAGGAAAGTCATTCCTGCAGAAGAACCCCTGTGAATTCCATGCAGGAGGTCTCTGGCATTCCCTGGCAGGCAGCTGAGGTCCCCTCACCCCTACCTGCCCGCAGGCTTGGGTCAGCAACTCCCCATACGGCCGAATAGGTTTCTGCTGGTAGAATGAGACCAGGGCGTCCAGAGAGACATGGGTCGTATGGTCCCCAGCAAGGATGAAAGTCCCGTCGTCTGAGAGCTTTACCATGAAGTGACGGCAGCAGGTCTGGGCTCTGTGGGATGCAGACACTGTGCCTCGGTTTCCCCAGTTACCACCCAGGACTTCTAAGGCCCACCTCAAGAGTTCTCAGGTGGATGAGATAAGGGATATAAGCTAATTGTGGTGCTTGTCTGTCATCGCTGCACTGGGAAGACTGAGGGCCAGAGGATGGAGGCTTGGAGGCCAGCCTGTCTCAACCAAATAAGAGTAGCAAATGACAGCAATCTTCTCATTTTAAAGGCACTATTTCATGTAATCAGGCTACACTTAAGCTTACTATGTAGCCAAGGATGACTTTGAATTCCAGATTCTCCTGTTTCAGCTTCCCTGTGCTAGGTTAACAGATGTGCACCCCCATACTACATAGCCAGTTCGAGGCCAGCCTGGCTATGAAATCCTCTCCCAAACAGGAAGACAGACAGAGAGAGAGAGAGAGAGAGAGAGAGAGAGAGAGAGAGAGAGAGAGAGAAAGAGAGAGGAAGGAAGGCAAACTTTCCCTTGAATGCTTCAAGTTGCCCAAATCAGGCTTTTGAGGCCCCAGGAGCTCTTGGCACTGGCCTTCCTGACTCAGATTCATGTCACTCATTTGAAGGTGAAAGCTGGAAGAGGCAGGGGCCACCCTCAGATTCCTGCCTATCCCATCCTCAGACACAGGTCTCAGGTCCTCCCCAGTGTTCCACGACTGCTGGATACAGTCGGCCTGCATACCAGGCAGAGCCCTCAGACCTGAGGTGCCTTTGGCCCTCTTCCTGAAGCCTGGGCCTAACGTCCCCCATGGACTTACTTGTAGGAAAGGGTGTAGCCCACGTGGCTGTGACTGACTCGGATAAGAAAGGTTCCCAGTGGTTGAGACTCCAGCAGGCTCTCGGCAGCTCTGGAGAGGCACAGGAAAAACGGGCTGATATGGAGACAAGCAAGCAAGCAAGCATAGGGGATGGCTTAACAACCTGGGGTTCCATTTGGCTCTGGTTATGCACAGGGCGGTCTTACAGTATTGCACTTGGCAGCCTAGCTCTCTGACCTGTCTGTTCTGTGCCTGCACGTGCACCCCCACCCCTCTGAGCAATGCGCTAGCAGCCTTGGCCTCCCATGTGCATCAGGCTATCTGTACAACTCTCACTTAAGAACGGGATAAGTTTCCCACCCCTAAAAACAATCAAATTTAGTTTCTATTCAGTGTATTCCCAGGATATATAGGAGGAAGAACTGAAGGGCTAATCCGGGGTTGGCCAGATGGTTCCGACAAGCCTGCCGGCCCGAATTCAATCCCTGGGACTCACATGGAAAGAGAGAACCGATTTTCACAAACTGCCCTCCGACCTCCACACACATAGTAAGAAATAAAAGATAATAAAAATGTAAATATCTTATTACTAAGAAAGAAAAGTTCTGATCCAGCCTCAACTGGTCTAGTGTGCATGTGTGTTCAGGCAAACCGTATCCTTCCAGGTCTTTTGGGGAGAATCCTTTGTTTCCCATCTTACACCTGTCTGAGCAGGCATATGCTATGAGCAAAGATCTACATAACCCAACCTGTGAATCAGAACGGAACCACCCACTGTCCCCTCCCTCAGCAATCAGACGCCTTCTCTTGGAGCGCACACATTTGGACCCAGCACTCGGGAGACAGACACAGGTGGATCTCCGTGAGTTAGAGGTCAGCCCATTTTCAGGGACAGCTAGGGCAGGTAAATGTGCTCCGATACATTCAGAAATCAGAGGACAGTCTACAGAGTTGGTTTTCTCCTTTTGCCTTGTGGGTCCCAGGAATTGAAGCTTCCTTGTCAAGTTTGGCTACAAGCACCTTTAGCTCTGAACCATCTGGCTGGCCCCTGCTGTCAATCTTAACAATGTAACCATTCTAACCTGCACTGTTGCTTTGCCCCCAATTCCACAATTTTGCTGCTTTTGCAAATTCCTGTGAGCTCTTAGTATAAGAAGCCAAGAACCTGGAAACATTGAACCCTGGCCCAGTAACACCAGGAAGGCTCTGGAGCTTGCAGGCCTGCACTTTCAGGTAGCTGAGGATGTCCTTGAACTCGTGGTCCTCCACCCTCCACCTGAGTACTGGGATGAAGTTGTGCCTGGTTTACGCAGAGTGGCTTGTGTACTGTACACCAGGCAAGCACTCTCCCAACTACTCTATCAACTAAGCGACACGCACTTTACCAATCGAGCATAGTTACAGCCTCTGAATAAACAATACCCAGTTTTTTTTTGGTGGTTTGAAGTGCTGGGCTTTGGGCAGTGTCACTTGGAGGCTTCTGATGCTGAAGTAGATCTCTTAGCTTCCACTCCTGCCTGCTCGTCTGAACTCCTCTGAGGTATCCACACACAATATCCGCAGCAGAGGCTATGGTCTGCCGTGTGACCTCAGGCAGGGGGGTCTAACCTTACCTGCTCCTCAGCTTCCCGTGGCCCAGAGAGAGTGTGAGAATGATGTGAACAGGGACCTTGCTCCAAAATGTCCACTGTGGCTAGGGGTGATGGACCAAGAAGCAGGATAAAGCGGGATGGGGTTATCATTATGTCCTTACTGCCGCGTGATGGTGCCGTGGAACCACTCTGGGATCCCGTCTTGGGCCAGCTGGTCTGCCTGCGTGTGCACAAACCAGTCCAGCCGAGGGGGCAGTGGCGGGGGCAGCTTCCAGGCTCCTGCTTCTGCCATGGCATCCAAAGAAGGGTCACCTGGAGGGAGGAGGGAGAGGTGGGTACCTCTTAGCTCTAACATTGCACACCCTGGCACCTGGTTTACTGGGAGCCATCCTGGTGGTCAGAGCAAGGGCGGTTCCTGCTTACACAGACCGCTGTTAGCTCGCGAGTGAGTGTGACAGACGGTCAGGTCTCTTCTTCTACTGCCCCACACCATGGTTTTGTTTATTGATTGTGTGTATGTTCATGGGCCACAGTATATATGTAGGGAAGTCCAGACGATTTCTCGGAGTCAGCTGTCTCCTTCCACCATGTGGTTCCCTGAAATTCAGGTCTTCAGGCCTGGGAGCAAGCACCCTTTCATATTGAACCATCCGTAGCCAAACCAACATTTTGTTGTTGTTCTTGTGTTTTTAGACAGGACTCTCTACATAGCCCTGACTGTCCTGGAACTCACTATGTAGACCAGGTTGACCTCAAACTCATGGAACTCCACCTGCCTCTGTCTCCCAAGTGCTGGGATTAAGGACAGGATTTCTCTATGTACAGCCCTGACTATCCCGGAACTCACTCTATCCTGGAACAGGCTCTTCCCAAACACACAGAGATCCACCTGCCTCTGCCTCCTGAGTGCTGGGATTAAAAGAATGCAACACCACCGCCTGACCAAACTGACATATTTTTAAAACTTTTGTTTCGTTTTGATGTGTGTGTATGTGTGTGTGTGTGTGTGTATGTGTGTGTGCGCGCACGTGCACGCATGAGCAGGCATCTTTGGTTCCTAGAAGGCACTGGATCCCCTGGAGCTGGAATTATGGGTGGTTGTGAGCTGCTCCATGTGGGTGCTGAGCACTGAATCGGGACTCTTTAAGAACAGTGAGTGGTTGAGACAACTCTTCATACCTCACCTTAGATTCTGAGAAGGGTCTGTCACTAAAGCTGGGGCTGGTCACAGAATTCCCAAACCCCCACCCCGTGCGGGACCTTTGTTCTGCTCTGTTGTCTCCACGCCTGCTGGAAGGCAAATTTGAATTAGGCCTTTATGCTTTATGCTCACAACAGGAAGCATTTTACGGACTAAGCGGACTCTTGGTTTAGTTTGTGAGACAGGGTAGCCTGAAACTCACCACGTAACCAAGGATGGCCTTGAACTCCTAACCCTCCTGCCTTTGCGTCCTTAGTGACAGCTCTTCCTGTACATTGTTAAGTCACACTTGTGTTGGCTGATTTACACTCAGGGCACCACAGGGACATGGTCTTGAAATGTAAAACAGTATTAAGTATTAAGCTGAAGGAAAACTAACAAAAAACTTCCCCAGGGCCCCTCTATCACTCGTCATTCAGGCCCTAGACCTGAGTGTGCATCCCCACCTACAGCCCCGGAAGATAGCTTGATCCCACAAGGAGAGGTCTGTTGACATAGGGTGGCGGTGCTGACTTTCTTCAGGTGTGGCCTAAAGGTACTCAGAATAAAGTTATTAACTGAATTGATAACCAAGCTGCATACTGTCTCTGTCCCCATTTCCTGTCCCTCTCTCAGCAGGGGTTCCACGGAGGTGAACTGTTTCTTCTAGGCTGAGGTCTCCCCAGGATAAGGCCTGGGATCACAGGCATCAAAGCATGTGGAATTAGAGGCAGATTAACTGGGTTGAAATTCTTCCTTGCATAGCTGCTGTGTAAAGTCACAAACTTAACTGCTTGGGGCCTTAACGTCTGTCGTTAAATAATATCTTTGGAAGGGAATGGCTGGGACAGAGTGCTCTATAGTCAGTACAATATATAGATCGCTTACAAACCTGTGTGTATGGAAAGGCGAGAGACAGCCTTCCTCCTTCCTTCCTTCTTCCTCCCTCCCTCCTTCTTCCTCCCTCCCTCCTTCCTTCTTTCATTCCTCCTTCTTCCTTCATTTCTCCTCCCTCCCTCTCGCCCTCACTTCCTCTTTCCTCCTTTCTTCTTTCCTTCTTCCTCCCTCCCTCCTTCCTTCCTTCCTCCCATTCCTCCTTCCTTCCTTTCTTTTTTTGAGACAGAGCTATGTAGCCCAGGCTGGCCTTAGTGTAGCTGGGGATAATCCTGAACTCCTCATCCCCTCACCTACCCCTCCAAGTCATGGGGTAACAGCCTGCTCGACCAAGTCCAGTTTACACTGTGCCAGGACTCCAGGCTACTGCCATATATCCATAATCCCCACACTTGAGAGGCTGAGGCAGGACTGCTATGAGCTCAGAGCTACCCAGGACTACACTAGGAGACCCTGAATTAAAAACAGAAGGATGTATGTGGTGGCATACATCCGTCATCTCAGTACGTACAAGGTGGAGACAGAAGGATTAGGAGTTTCTAGGCCACTCTTGAAAGTAATAATAGTGGAACTGAAATTCTCCTATTACCTGACTTTTATTTATTTTATTGCTTATTTGTTTTTAAAATGTCTTTATTTATGTGTATGTATGTGTTTTTCTCTGTGTGTATAGATATAAATGTGCATCAGTCACATGTGTGCAGGTACCACTGGAGGCAGAACATGGCACTGGGTCCCTGGAGATGAATTTATAGGTGGTCGTGAACCTCCCAATGCAAGTGCTGGGAACTGAACTCAGATCTTCTGCAGGAGCAGCATGCACTCTTAACTGCTGACCCTTCTCTCCAGTGTCATTCTGATATTTAAAAAATTTTAGTGTGTATGTGGGAGTGTCCATGTGTGGACACACGCATGTGCAGATGTGTGTCGGCTTGAAGTTGACATCAGGTATCTTCTTCATTCTCTCCCCTATTATGTATTGAAGCAGAGTCTCTGAATGAGCCGGCAGCTTCGGTGAGTCTGACTAGCCAGCTGCCCTAGGGATCTCCTGCCTCCACTTCCCACACACCGGGTTGACAAGCAGCCCTCGCCTGCCAGCCCAGACACCTGCCACGATGCTCCAGTTTTCACACTATTCGTGTAGATTGGAGTCCTGGCCCCGGGGGGTGCAGCAAGCAACCCCTGTCCAGGCTGTGTAAGTACACAGTGACAAACCAACACATCTCACAGAATGTATCCAGTCATGAACGGGCTCTACTTCTTTCTCAATATAAAATACAGCTGAACCCAGTCACAAGCTGGGACAGAATTCTCTTTTTACCTCAGAACACTTCTACACATCTTTAAGACCCACTATGAATGTCCCCTTCTCCAGCCAGCCTTCCTTCTCCCTCCCCTCCCCTAGAGCTTCCCCTTTGTTCTTTCCTCTGCTGGCTCAGGCTGGACCCCACGGAGCTGGAGGACTTTCTCTGCCTCATCCTCATACTTTCTTAGGGCACAGGGCCAGTGGGTTGGTGGTTTCTCTGAAACGAGTCTCACTACATAGCTGAAGTTAGACTCAAACTCATGATCTAGCCTGCCTCGGCCATCAGTGTGCTGGAATGGCAGGTGTGGATAACCATGACAGAGCTTGCAACGGTTCCCTTCTCTGGTAAGCCCTTCCCGCACCTCCCAGCCCCAACGCACCCAGTGCTGGAGCCCCAGAGGTTCTGCAGCTGGGGAATGTTGGGATGCAGGGATGCCAGGATTCTGGATGCTGGGTTCAGGATGCAGGATACTTACTTACCTTGGAGAGCCTGGGTTGTGTTCCGCAGGACTCTTGAGCTGCCGCTAGAGCTGAAGTTTCACTTCAGGGTCTGCACGTCAGAGGGGCAGGGCGGGCAGCCCCAGGCAGTTCCTGTTTCCTCCAGCAGGTGAACCAGGGCGGGACCAAGCTCAGGGCTTGTGTCTGTAGCTGAAGCTGAGACTGGCTCCTGCCAAGCCTTTGCTCAGCTAGCAGTTCCTTGGAACCCCCAAGACAGTTGCAGCCCCTCCTTCCCTTTTGAAACAGTCTTCTGTACTCCAGGCTAGCCTGGAACTTTCTACATAGCTGAGGATGACCTTGAACTAATGATCCTCCTGCCTCCAGTATGCACTGATGGCATTGGAATCCAGAACTTGGTTTGCTAGGCAAGCACTCGGCTAACCAAGCTGTGTTTCCTGCCCTTATTGCAGTCCCAAAGTATTCGTCTATCAGGAAAGGGGAATGTGGCAGTCAGAAAGGGAAAGGGGTCAGTAGGGACTGCTTGGGGTGGGTATGGGGTGCAGGAACAGTGTGTAGACAGAGACATTAAAGGACAGACTCTCATTCTCACACAGCTCTATCCTGGCTTCCTTTGCAAACACACCTGAAATGACGTTCTACAATCGTGGCCTTCTAGGCCAAAGTAAAAGCATAGTGGCTTAGGTTTGTAGTCCCAGCATTCAGAAATCTGAGGCAGGAGGATTTGGGATTCCAGGCTAGCCTGGGCTACAAAGGGAGACTGAAACTCAAAATCCAAACAAAACCAAAGTACAAAAACAAAACCAGAGTATCCATTTTATTTTGTTTGCTTTTCTAAGACAGGGTCTCCTGGAACTCACTATATAGCTAAGAGCCCTGCTCTTCTTGCTTACATTTCTGGAGGCTGGCATCATATTTTCTGTGGTAGTGGAGTGGGACCCTGGGCTCCACTCACAATAGGCAAGTACCCTACTGACCAAGCACAGGTCCAGTCTGTGCCTGAGTCCTCTTCTGACTTTAAAACGAACTGAAACATTGTGTGTGTGTGTGTGTGTGTGTGGTGGTGGTCCTGTGCATACCCCGGGTCCTGGGTGATGTGTCCCTGTGCCTAACAGGCAAAGCTGACAGGGCTGTGAGCTGCCTGCCCCACCCTCTCTTGACTCTACACCAAGTGGCAAAGCTACTTTCTCCTCTCTAGGGCATCTGGAAGTTGATACTTTCTAAGATGGAGCTGGGAGCCTTAGGCTTGGGAGTCTTTGGGTTGACAAAGGCCCAACACAGAAGGAAATCAGCGCTGGTCCCATGATAGAGCCACTCAGGCAATGGGTCAGCTCACTGGGGTGTGTTACTGTGGCTTAATTCAGTGCTTTTTTACTTGGCTTCAGGTGAGATGGGCTCTGAACCTCTCTGATCCTCCTCATGCCTGCTTGCTTTGGGGAGGTCCCCAGCCTCCATGGTGAAGAACAGAAGGGTTCAGAAGGCACTAGACCAGCGTAGTGTCACTTGGATAATCAGGACTTTGGGGTTCTTGTGTACATCGGGCTCAGTCTCAGAGAACATGAGTTGCGTCAGCTTGGCTCTTGGGCTGCGGTCTTCCACAAGATAACATCTTCCTGTCAGCAGTCAAAGTAGAATTCCCCCACCCGCCGTGTCTGTGGTTCACAAACGGACACACAGTTCCCAAAGGAAGGAAGGGGGCAGTGATGGCCACTAAGGCAGTATAAACAGGGATGTCTGATGGAAGGTAACGGGGGACACCGAGGTCCCTCTCTCTATGCCAGCTTCTTTTGCTGATCTCACGGGTGAGCTGGAGTAGACAATCCACTGGGTAGGTAGTTGCTGGCAAACTCCATCAGCTTAGACCACACTCAGAGGACAGGGGCGGGTAGGGAAGGGGCAGGGTGGCCATTTTATACGTCTCTCTGCCTGGGGCACCTGCTCCTACTCTTGCTTTTGTTCATTTCACAAACCCTGACTGGGCTCGAGTTCTGTGCAGGTGCCATACTGGACGTTAAGGTTGAAGCGGAAGAAATGAAGGCGTATCTGTCATCCCAGCACTTTGAGAGGCTGAGGCAGGAGGAAGGCTAGATCCGGGCCAGTCTGGACTGCACTCTATCTCAAAAAAAGGGGGTGGAGTGTGCAAGGAAGGGTAAGATGGCTCAGGAGGTAGATGCACTTGTTGCCAAGCATGATGCCGGAATTTGATCCCCAGGAATCATGGAGTGACTCCTCCTACGAGCTGTCCTCTGAACACAAAAACACACAGAAAAAAAAATACATTTTTAAGTTTGGGGGGAAAAAAAGGTTCTACTACCACACTGGGCTTGAACTGTAAGCCTAGGAACCTTGGAAGGCACATGTAAAACATGGCACCACACACTGGAATGAGGGAGGTTCTGCCCAGTCTATAATGTGTATAAATTAATAACTGGCTGCTGCTGTGTATGATGGCCACGGCTTGAATAGCAGCCCCTGGAAAGCAGCGACAGGTAGATCTGTTAGACAAGGACAGCTAGGGCCACATGAGACCCTATCTCAACAAGACACCAGAAGCTGTTGCTGAGCCAACAGTGGTCAGGCACAGAAGGGTGTGTGTCATTACAACTGGCATACAACCAGAGAAGGCAAATACACAGAGAGATGACACGCTGCCAGGGGCAACTTGCCTGCTCACGGGGACTGTGTGATAAAGCATACTCTAAACTAGTCATTGGGGAAGATATTTTAAGTCTGTACTTGTGTTAAAAACCTGCCCAAGGGCTGGAGGGACAGCCCTTGCTTGAGTACCAGGATTTGGTAACTCTGGCTCCAAGGGATTCATTCTATGCATATTCTGGTTTCCATGGGAACCAAGCATGAATATGGTGCACAGACATACATGCAGTCAAAACACTCAAAACACAGAAAAAGAAAAAAAAAAGCCTTCCCTAGCCCTGTAAATAGCCCGCCCTGGCCTCACAGCCCTTCCTTTCCCCTCCTAAGTTCTCTAGTGCTGAGGAAGACCTGCCTGGCTCTTTCTGTTGTCATTGCCTTCCTGTTTCATTGCGAAGAATCTATTATTTCCTGCAGTCTGGGTACCAAACCTCGGACTTGAACCCTGTTCTGTGAATGCTGGTATGGAACCCAGACTGCACATGTGCTTGGCAGGACCAGATGTGTGGAGTCCCTTCCAAAGGCCAAATAATACTACAGGGATGTCAATAGGATGCTTTTCTCTTTTATGTTTCTGGGTATTTGGCCAGCCACGTGTCCGTGCACCATGTGGATGCCTAGTGTTAGAGTCCTCTAGAACTGGAGTTAAGGATGGTGGCGAGGCACCAGGTGGGTGGTGGAAATAGAACCAGGGTCCTCTGCAAGCACAAGTGATCTTAATTGCTGGCACATCCCTTCAGCCCTGTAGGAAGGATCTTAGTGTGCCTTTGTAGCCATTGCTTACCCGTTCCTTGCAGCCTCCACCCCACCCCACTTTCCCAGCTCTCCCTACTGTACTGTGAGGTGGGAGTTGGGATTCCTCCAAGGCACACATGATAAGGGAGTGCTGAGCTGGCAGCTTCCACTTACCCACAACACATTAAGGGCTCAGAACAAAGCCAGAGGGTTTGGTGAGGATTGCCTGTCATCCCAGCACCCAGAGGCTACAACAGGAGGCCTGCTTTGAACCTCAGAACTGGTTCCATACCAGCATTCACAGAACAGGGTTCAAGTCCGAGGTTTGGTACCCAGACTGCAGGAAATAATAGATTCTTTGCAATGAAACAGGAAGGCAATGACAACAGAAAGAGCCAGGCAGGTCTTCCTCAGCACTAGAGAACTTAGGAGGGGAAGGGAAGGGCTGTGAGGCCAGGGCGGGCTATTTACAGGCCTAGCTTCATACTGATCCTTGCCCCCAAACCACAAACCCTTATCTGGGTGGCTCAGTGTGGCGCTAGCCATCTGCACACGTGCTTGGTCTGTGCTTAAGCACATGAATGCTCACTGGAGGGAGTCCTGCTGTCACCACATGGGGTCTCCATGATTGTCCCAATCCTGGGTGCACAGTCTGACCTTCCTTTGCGAGTTAACAGCCTGTTCATGTGGGATGAAGCACGTGAAATGCAACTGCTTTGGCATAAGATTCTGGAAGCTTCTGCCCAGTTCCCCCTGTGCTCCCTTGCTCATTCTATTAACTGCCCCCACCCAACAGTTTTTCTGTGTAGCCCTGGCTGACTTAGAACTAGATCTGTAGACTAGGTTTGCCTCAACTCAGAGATCCACTTGCTCTGCCTCCTGAGAGCTGGGATCAAAGACGTGCACTGCCACCCTGGCTTCATTTGCTGACTGTTTTTCTAAACAGTGAATCATCTTAGCTGAGTGTGTGCTATAGTTTGACTGGAGCTTGTGATAAGAAAGGCTGTGTGCCAGAAGTTGGGTTCTCTATGAACTAAAGAGGTGGTGGACTTTTTGTGCATTTTTTTTTAAGGTATCAGATCCCCTGGAAATGGGGTCACAGACAGTTGTGAGCTACCATATGGTTGCTGGGAATCAAACCCAGGTCCTCTGGAAGAACAGCCAGAGCTCTTAACTGCTGAGCCATCGCTCCAGCACTGCAGGCCTATCTCCATGAGTTTGAGACTAGTCTGATCTACAAAGTGACAGCCAGGGTTGTTACACAGAGAAACTGTCTCAAAAAACAAACCAAACAAACAAACAAACAAAAACAACAAAGAAAAGAAAAGAAAAAAAGAAAAGAAATTTATTGCTGGGCAGTGGCGGTGCTTGCCTTTAATTCCAGCACTTAGGGAGCAGAGACAGGCAGATCTGACTCAGTTTGGTCAGCCAGAGATACACAGAAAAATCCTGCTTCGAAATACACACACACACACACACACACACACACACACACACAAAGAGGTGACCTTTTAAAAGGCAAGGTCTTTGGGGAGTGTGGCTGAGTGCACCCAGGTAGGAAGCCCACAGTGAGAGCCAGAGGGGAGGATGTCTACAATCGGTCAAAGAACAGTATTTGCTAGACAAGATAAGCTGCAAGTAACTCACAGCTGCTGTGGCTGCACTCACAAGGCGGTCACAGGACCACACCAGCCAAAACCACACCAGCCAAAATGCTAGCATGGATGGGGGAGGGACTTATGAAGTCCCACC